TTACAAGGTACATCTACATTTTTATATCAAACGATCCGCTATTCAAATGTCTACAGCTATGCAAAATTTGGCATGGCTACGCCGCGCCGTTCGGAAACCATTCCGGAAAAACCTTTGGGGGTGGTGGTCAATTTGACCCCCACCCAAGGGCGTGTTAAAATGCACAATAACAGCACAACATAACATTTCGAGAGAGTGCTTTCCTGAGTCATGCATTTGCCCTCCAAGCATGCACTTGCCCGCTGCCCAACGTAGACGCATTGTTCCGCTTTTGTTTGTAGGACGAAGGACGAACCTGTCAAGAATGACGTAATTGTTCGGAGTTCCGTCCTCGTCTGGGGTGTTTGTATTTACACACTGTTTCGGCCAGCTAACCGGCACGCGGCCAGGGGTGGGAGTTGACTTTTCCCTACGGTTTTTTGAACTCAGTTAAAAACGAACGCTCGCAGCAGCACGAAATTTTCAGTTCATCTTTATCTATCAATTAGGCATCCCTTGCGCCAATTTGAAGCTTTGAAGCACCAAAATCAGTGGTTTAGGTTAGAAAGGAGAGATTAACCTCTAAAAAACTTTGACCGCACAACATTTCTGTGTGTCATTTGGCAGTTTTCAAACTTGCTTAAGTCATAGAGCATGAAGGATGATGTGAAGCCAGTGGCCTGAAGTCAGGTCAAGTTTTCTAATTTTGTCGTTCATAATGTAAATTTGTGAATATTTTTGGTTAGTTTTGGTGCTTGTATATGAGGGAAAGAGTGCTTACTTACATGCACAACCACCAGACAAACACAGAACACATTACCTTGGCTCATGGTCATCGTCATGACATGACAGGCCATGACTTGTTTCTATGGATACCCTCCGCAAAACACATTCTGAGCTCAAGAGAGGCAGGCATAGGAAGCAATTTTGCACATAGAATTCGAATATTCCACTGAAAACATGGGAAATCCTTGTAATGCATAATGAGGTCGCAGTGGGTCATATGAGGACATGCAAGATCGTATGGGGTCATTCAAGGTCAATGACTTGTGCCACCAGTAGCGGCGAGGCTATATGAACGAGTGCAACGCGTGTAACCACCTCCTTGTCGTGCTTGTGAAACTGGTGACGTCCAATTTCATGTACCAACGCACATGTCCTCATTTTGTCACAAATTCATTGCCAAGCTTCGGGGGAACTATGTGCAATGTAAACAGCAGTTATGCGATCTTAAATGCCTGCAGGTGTACAGCACACTATTTCTGACCACAAAAAAGCACTACTGGTCACATGGACCCGGTTCGCACTGCAGTTTAGGTCACCCTAAAATGGTAATTTGGTGTCTAAAACGCTTTTGTGCCACAGCTGCACCTAATACAAAACTTGGCCAGAAGCACATTGTGAAGAAGGGAATCGTTCTTGTAGGCTACTGGCAGACCAATTTTGAACGGTGATCTGGTCTGACTTGACCCATTCGCGGAACAAAAGTGGTCAAAATGGACTCCCCATAATCTTAACGCTTAATTTCGTGTCCTCAATATACGTATTGACGTGCTAAGATAGGCACCGACTGTATCTACTGCAACGTTCGTTTTTTACCTCCTGTGACTTCTGGTGACCTCACATCTGACCTTCTGGTGACCTCACATCTGACCTATGGTTGAAAATTTGGTGTAAGTTCTTCATGACTTAACGAGATCTGCAAAGGGGTTCTCTGTTTTCCGCAAACGGCGTCTGGTAGTTGGAGATCCCGAGTCAGACCCTCGGAAACTCCCCGGTAACTCCCCAGCCATCGTCAGATGTTACTTAGTGCTGAAAACGAGTGGAAGATGCTTGGATTTCACCCATATAGGCGTAACACAGCCAGAATGTAGCTGAAGTAGCTGGAATCCCAGCCAGTCTCTTGATTGCGAGGAACAGCTGGAATCCCAGCAAGGGTCACCTAATTGCGAGTCCACTGCTATGTCTGCTGAGCTAATAACTGGTGTAAACAAATTTGCCATCCGTGACACGAATACCTCGTTCAAATCCTTCTGTCCGTAAAACTGCACTGACCTGCGTTGGTTAATTTGTGTGTATCTACCGTAGGCACTTAGCGTAGCCAGGCATTTTAGGAAAAAATAGGCGATTCATGTCCTGCTGGTGGCTGATGTAACCTTTTGAAACAAACATACCGCTATCTTACTGAATATTTCATTCGTTATGTTAGATACCTTCGACGTCGCGGTACTTTTATGATCACTTTTATTACGTTATTTGCTTAACATATATAAATCAAGCACAAGCATGCCACAGGCATACAACAAGCATGCATTGTTGTACCCGCTGCGGCATTCGTGCCTGGGCGGCTCAGACGCCGACGCCGGCACGTGACGGACGTCCGAGTGTGAGCACCACGGGTGGCGGACTGACCCGGCAGAGGCCAGTTGGCTGGAGGTGAGAGAATCGCCACGACTATACTGCGGGAGCGTTTCAAAACATTGGATGACACGTAAAAGATTCCGCCAACTGGTGCAAACAAAATGAGACGTCGAAACAGCCGAAGCGGTAGTCTCGAGCAGTCGTCTCTACAAACTGTTTGGGCTGCACCAAACAGTACCCCCATGAACATGGCAACGCATAAAATTCCTTACAAAAAGGATGGCACATTTTTTCGAGGCTTAACACAAAAACCACTTCAGAGCAAAAATGGATGGAATCAGTCTTCTTTAAAAAGACTGTTTATGTGTGAATAACAAACTTTGCCGTTTGCCTCATACTTCTTGTCGACACAGGGTGCGGGCACGTGGTTCAAATGAGCACAATGCACGTGCTGCGCGGCACTTGTAGCGCGGGGTGCTGCACTTTTTTCCCGCTCCAAACGCGCGTCCGCGCCTTATGCCTTATGAAAACACGCACACATGACGCGGTAGCTTCTCACGAATGCCCCCTGCAAGCTCACTGGCGGCAGCGGCTACCGGCACATGCCCGGATGCGCCGCGACTCTCCTGAAGACTGCCTCTGGATTAATCGCGCGCTTTAAACCGCTGAGAACCATATAGCCGACGCCTGCAGAGTCAGCCCAGTTTATTCCCCCCTGTGAGGCGAGGGTGCTGGTGCAATATAATAGGTGTATAGTAGGTGCAGTATAATAGGTGTAATGATAGTAATAGGTGAAGGTGCACAATAGGTGCTGATCATTCAGTTGAACATCAAGCCACATTTATGAAGTATACTCGGCCTAGTCAGGCCTGGCTTGAAACGTCCTAACGTTCCAAACTCCCAGGTTTTGCCTGAAATGCCGGATTACATTTGACACGCACAACATATCCATCTAAAACTGCATTATAACCGCCAGGTTATGTTACACACACAAGCATATACATATATATATATATATATATATATATATATATATATATATATATACACTTCATACATCAAACCCGTAGTTATGGTGAGAACAGAATACGCTCGGGACCTCGAGGGCATCTCAAGCAACGCCTGAAGTGTTTGGCTACGAAGCGTAATCATGTTAATTTCACGAAGACTGCATAATGCACCAGCATTATATGACATGTCTAGCCCTGTTTTCTGAAATGCCGGACTACGGCAAACGCCTATAACATATCCATCTTGAATGTCACGCACCTCTCCTGCAGACACGGTAAGTGATCAGGCAGAATAACCAAGGATATAACGCACAGAACGCAACTTTGGATAGTAGGGTATGGTGGAGTTAGTCACAACGTTCGCCGTGCGCAGTAGCAATGGATGCTGAAACAATGCTGTTCAGTGCATATCGGATGGCTGGTGGACTAAGTAAGTCGGCATGCACGCTCTAGGTAGCACAAAAGTAAGCTAAATACAAAGACAGTCTAGAAAGAGAGAAGCAGTTAACATTGCTGACTCACCCGCCTTAAAAGACAGGTATATGGGGGAAGGGGTATTGTCTCCCTCGGACCTCCTGTCCCTACACCCATAAAAGGTGCACCCCTGCACCCTGGTGCTTTGCTCTGTAGAGAGACTCAGAGGGCGCTGAGGAAAAGTCTGAGCCGATATCGTGATCAGAGACTTCCGCAGCCGACCGTCCATTCATCCTGCCATTCAGTGAAACTCGCTGGGAACTTTACTTTAAGCTATGACAAAACGGGTTATCTAACACGTTGAACAAACAAGCCTCACAAATGGTGCAATACCTCCGGCCCGCCCCAGATCGAGGGCCAGTGACCTCCGAGCGACTGTGATCTCATGGCACGGCTGGAGCCGGATGAGTCAGACGAGGAAATTCCTCTCCGAACCGACCGCCGCGCCGGGCAGTCCTGCCAGGAATGGGCGATACCGGCTGTGCGTGCCCGAGTTCGGGCTATTGCATGCCGTGACATTGCGCGGCGGCGGGGCCGGGAGGCTCCCACTGCCACACCAGCCAGGATCTCGAATGCGTTGCGGCACTGAGACGCTGGCTGCCGAGACCAGGAGGCCGGAGTCCAGGAGAGCGGAGACCAGGAGAGCGGAGACCAGGAGAGCGGAGACCAGGAGAGCGAATTTCATTTGGATTGTAGCAGATCGGTTTGAACGCACAAGTTGTGGAGATAACGCCCACTTTGGCTTATCATCGTTGGGGTCAGATATGGTGGCTATGCCTGCCCTTCCGCACACCTGTGGGGCAGCCAAAGATGAAGTGGGCTAAAATTTACTCCGCAAATTAGGTTGCATTCAGTTTGCCCATGCACTCACAGGAAGGCCAGACAACCGAGCAGCAAGTCTGACACCAACGCTAGGACAAACTCAGACGTGAGCGGCTTGACAGCAAAACTGATTCAAGCTGACCGACATATGCCCACGTGTAGACAAAACCATGGCAGGCACGGGAACAGTGCTCACACTTGAGCCACCCGAAGCACTGCCTACTAGGCACTAAGTAACTTGACGAAGAACAACAGCGAGAGCTGTACGGTTCGATGATGAGTAGCTAAACCTTGAACAATACTCATATGTGAGCGGTCAGACAGTCAGTGGCCTGGGATGTGAGCGATACTCACATATGAGCAGACTGATGGTGAGCAGGAGCCCGGGTACCACAGCCGCCTGCGCGGCGCTGATGGCGAACGTCTCGATGACCATCAGGTTCAACAGACCGTACGACTTGATGGTGCCGGCGATGCAGAAGTTGGCGAGGAAAGCGCCGAACGCCACCACCCAGCCGTAGCCGCCGTCGATCTCGACGTGCTGCTCGTCGTCGGCCGTCGGCGGTGGCGGTGGCGGCGGAGGCGGCGGCGGCGGCTCGAGGCCGGCCGGGTCTCGCGTTAGGATGTCGCTCAGCGAGGAGGACAGCGGCGGCCGCGTGTCGCCGGCCGAGCGGCGCCGGCTCGCCTGGCGCCGGATCTGGCGCAGCTCCAGCCGCAGGCGAGCGTTGTGCAGGCTGCCGATCGTCGACTGCTCGTCGCTGGAGTCGTAGCCGGGCGGCGGCGAGCCGTCGGGGGCGAGCGCCGGCTCGGCACCGCCCGGTCCGCGCGGCCCGCCCGCCGGGCTCACCACCTCCTCTACGGCCATCACGCTGCCGCTGTCCGTCCGCCGCCCTCGGCTGGCGTTGTCCGCTGTTATTGTCCGGCGTGTGTTGTCCGGTGATCGTTGTCCGCTGTTTGTTCTCCGGTATCTGTTGCCACAACCCCGAGCGTCGGAGCTGGCCGTCCGGCGTCGGACAAAGGGCTCGGCGGTGGCGGCGCTGCGGTGCGCCCCCAGATTGGCTGGGCCGCGTGGTCTCGTCAGCCGGATGCCGACGCGCTTAGTCCCGCTGCCGACCCCGACATTGCGCACTGCAGGGGTCACAGGAGGTCACCTCACTCGGCAGCAGGCGTGCAGACGACTACTGACGCTCGGTCAGCCCGGCATCAGCTGAGCAGCCGGCGCCCGCTTGGCAGCCGTCGCAGCCGGCGCGCGCCGAAATCGATGCGGCCCAATTCGTGCGCGTGCGTGGCGCCTCGGCTTGCCCCAGCGTCGGCAGCAAGGTCGGCGGGTCACAAGCCGTGCCTGGAGCGGATGAGAAAAGTATGACGCAATGGCCAGCGCACCAGCTGTGCGGACGGCGTCATGCTTGCTGGAGTGACGTAGTTCGGCGGTCAGAAACAGAGCGGCCCAGAAACGCTCTGCATGTCTTTTTGTGGGCCAATGCAAGGCCTATTTTTGTGTTTTTATCCTAGATGATGTTCCGAAACTGCCTGGAGGTGGGGACGATAGGCCGGCTGCGTGGGAATCCGGTGTAAGATATTTACTTTAGCCAACTTATGCTATCGGGGGGAGGCGAATCAAATAAATTTAATGAAAAATACATGCACATAGTGGTTTATTTAAGCGGCACACAGGCAGCCGCCGCATTGTACACAGTTATTGGAACGGACGGCCGGTCAGTGTCCACCGCCACAACGGGGATCCCCGGCACAGCCCAAACAGCGGCCTGAGCTCCACTAATCGGTCGCGACCAGCAATGCCGGGTGAAGTTGTATTTTGATTAAAAGTGGAGACAGAATTAACTTTTTAATTCAATTTCGACACACCGTTGTTAATAAGTATGTACTAATTTCTAGACTAGATTCGCATCTATATCAAAGATTAGAGGAAAGAATTCCGGCCTTTGATATAAAGATCCACCTAAAAGATAAGATATCACGAATACCTAAACACGACCTGGTTCAGGTGTTTGTGACATCGTAGTAAAGTCCTGACTAGAAAACAGTATCCTTTGCAAGTGGATAAGATACCGCACGGTCTTGCCAAATGGTATCGCTTGCCAAAATTTCCTCGTATATATATTATTAAATGATTCTGTACTGTGTTTTTTCTTAATATAACTCAGGCAATCCTGCATTTATTCGAAAAGAAGCGACATGAGATCAGGGTGTGAGTCACCAAGAAGTGTTTGATAGGAAAGGCAAAGCGATGTGTTAGCACACCGTTCCTGTCGTCAGACGCAACTTCAAGCGCCAGTTTGAAAGTTTTGAAAGACATGTCTCAAATGACTGTTGAGGAGAGCTTCTGCTTAGTAGCAAAGATAAAACCGTAGGCAAGGTTTGAAAGCCAGCTATGATAAATCCGAACTGGCCACTATCGTGGTCAAATTAAAAAGAAAAATCCCCCCTCCAAGCTGCGAGAATTCGCAGTTATTGAATATCACTGCGTCGGACTGAATTTAGTGGCTAAATGTGTCATTCAATACCATCGGAGATTGAGACAAATAGACGACACCAACCCTTCAGGTACAAACTGGTTCGGTCATTTATATAGCCATGTCTTACACTTCCCTCTCAATCTCAACTTAAAAAGAAGCAACGCTGTATCGACGTTGGTAACTGCATCGCTCTCCACGTATGATTCCGTAAAAACAAGGATAACAATAGCTTGCCAAAGACAGTCTTCCCCGCGGACCGAAAGGCATCTCTATCTTGGCAGGCGACGAATAATGGTTGATCGAGCAAACCTTCAATTGGCCATGTGCTGCAATAAAAGATCAGCAACCCTTCAGGAAGGGCAGCCAGGACAACTTTTCAACTACCCAGTTACATTGCATTTGTGAACGTATAACACCGGGTTGATGGCATTTTCTTAGTACTAGCAATTCATAGTACTTCGCAGCATGTAAGGAAAATGTTTGTAAGGGTTTTTCATTATCTTTATAAAGATGTGGCTTTAACATGCTCGTAATTGGCCGTTGATGCAGTGTTATAAGACCCATAACATAAATTGATATGCAAGTCACGGAGTTGTCTCTGTGTTTGGTGAGTGAAATGCGTGCTCTCTAACACAAACATTCTTTAAAAATGTGTGACATATTTACATCTTAACGATCTGACCAATGATGCAGGCTTCTATGACCTATGACCTATGGCTTGAGTAGGTGTGCATATCTCCCGCTCGTTCCCGCACATGGTAAGTGAAATACGCGTTTTCTTACAGCAACATTGGAGCCCGGCTGGGAGCCTTTCGCCAGTTATGTCTTTTTCGTGGTTGGCATAGTAGCTCATAATTGGCCCAGCATGCATGAGAAAAAGCATTCAAAAACCAAGCGATGCGAATCTAGTCATAAGATGCTGGAGAATCATGCCAGTCACCACAGAGACTTGCTTGCTTCCTGCGAGCAGACACGTTTGCGGATAATACGACTTGCTTGTTCAAAGGCAATTGTAACGGGGAAAAACAAAAAAGTAAAACAAAAAAGCCATAATGACAAATGCGTATCAAGGACACTTAAAACAAGCAGCTCTAAGCGCTTCATCAAGCGTTTTAAGGTGAGTGTACGTCCATTCTACTCACGCTCATGGTCCTTCCCGCCTTTGGAGACCGGGAGCCAGCTGTCATCCGTGTTGCAATCACACGTCATGCAAAGTTAACACGTTGAGCGTGTAAACACGCAAGTACAAGTAAGCACGCCGCTACACGTACGATGTGTTTTCCTCGACAGTGCAGCACATGTCCAAACAGGCACGTGACACATTTGCCGGTCGGGAACATCCTGTGAATCTCAACCAAGATGGCTCGCTGGAAACCTGAACCTAAGCGGCCGTACTGGGTGGTCTTCCAGCACCAGTGCGCCTCCGTCACAACCCCCCGCGAGAGCCCCACTACGCATCGAACGGTGACCCAGCATCCAAAGATCAGCACACTTGTGTCATTCTAACACTGCTCGTGCTTGTAACTAACTTCTGTGAATGCCCATGCACTGCTGAAGCATTTGGCTGAGGCTGAGGCAGCAGGGTAATGACGTCAGCAGGGCCCACCATGGCGCGCATTAATGCCTCGCGGACGAACGGTGCTGGGAACCTGTCATATACAACGCTGTACTCATGGCCATGTGTTTATGTGGTTATACACAACAAAACGAGAAAGAAACGAAGATAAATAGATCCGGAGAATGTTCTGAATCTGTGCGTGCGGTCACGAAAATCACATCAAACTGATTCATGTTTGGTGCCAAATTGGTTTATATTGATAATTAATTATTTTGACATCTTTTTAATGATAGCGCCTGGAAAGATTTAGAATATGTTCTGGACCCAGATTCACCGGTATTCAATGTAAACTTCCACTTTCTTTTCAACTTTTTCAAAAGTGAACGTGGAAACTTTCATTTCCACGTTCACTTGAGACCACGAGTACGCAGCCTTGAGTCGTCAAGTTTTGACAATATAGCCAACGCCTCTTTGACAGCGTCGCTTGGCCAGTGCCTCCTGGTGTACTTAAGACCTCCAAGCATGGTAGTGTTTTAGTCCAAAGTGCTACAGGGTGAGAAAACGCAAAAGGTATCAATATCCAACCATTCGACCGAATTTGGTTTAAATCATTAAGTGTTCTTAGAATCATTATTTTCTTATTGCTTTAGAACCAAATTGCAACAGATGTACATTATGAGCAGAAGTAATGCCCTTCACCGCCCGCAGAGCGCCGTATCAGCACGCTGCAGCTCCAGCAAAGACCCTACCAACGGTAAAATAAGCGACACGGTAGTGCTATGTGAATCTCAAAATCGAGCTTTTGTCCTCGTTGTGAGTATCAAGCTCGGGTCTGCAAACAGCAATGACTTTGTGATATCGTCCACAGGCTCAACACATCTCGCTGATATATATATATATATATATATATATATATATATATATATATATATATATATGTGTGTGTGTGTGTGTGTGTGTGTGTGTGTGTGTGTGTGTGTATAGATACATGGGCCGAAAAATTAATCCATATGTCGTCGTTTACATAATCCAGTCATTCGGTAAAAGCTGTGCCGATAGCTTGCAGATTGAAAATATAGTTTATCTCATAGACACGGATTTTTTCCTGACTGCAAACCGCAATGTTTGACAGATTCACAACTGGAAAAAGAAGACAACGATTCATGCATCTTATTTCACTGGCCGCAGCAGTCCGCTTCCACCTCCTGGCCTATTCTCACCTACGAGAACACAAGAAGTCCGCATAGAAAAAGCTTTTGAATAAGACTGACGACGAATAATCTCAGCAACTAGAACAAAGCGTTGCGCGTTCGGGCTTATTGGCCTGCCCGGGACACCAGTGAATCAGGACGGAGAGCGACATTGGGTGACATCATCTGGGAATGATGCTCGTCACATTTCAGGAACAGTCTTTGTGGAGACGCGCAAGCTGGAAACGCCGCACAGATCCGCTGGAAGGAAGCTTGCGAGACTGTGCGCACTTGGGGGGGGGGGGGGGGGGGGGAAAACCTTGGAGGTGATGATCAAACTGCTAGTGCTCGCTTTTGACGTGCGTGTGATTTGTCTATTGACATTGATCACAGCACATGCCATCCAAAGCTGTCTAATATAATATCAGTTTCAATTTTATTTCACTGTCACAGCTTTCATTTCATTGTCACAGGGGGAGGGGGAAAACCTTGGAGGTGATGATCAAACTGCTAGTGCTCGCTTTTGACGTGCGTGTGATTTGTCTATTGACATTGATTACAGCACATGCCATCCAAAGCTGTCCAATATAATATCAGTTTCAATTTCATTTCATTGTCACAGCTTCCGGGAAGAGAAAAGTTGTCACCTCTTCAGATCAGAAATTCAGCGAAGATTGTGATTGTTTGCACTATCGTACCACTCCTAACCACACTACGGCGTGTATGACGTGATTCGAACGTCCGCACGTTTTCCTTGCGGGAGCGCACGGCTCAGGACGCCGCGCACACGGCCTCCGCCGGCGCCGGCGTGGCGTCAGGTAGTGCGCCTGTGCTGCTACCCGCGCGCCGCACCGTCTCCAGGCGCCGTTCGTTTCCGATATATACGGTGACTCGGCCGCCCGGTCATCCCCCCCCCCCCCCCCATCCCAGCGGCCGCCCGGAATGAGCTGTCTGTTAGACCGCCGTTTCCGTGACGTCAGCGTCCGGCTCGCCCGCCTCCGGACCCCACCCCCCTCCGGACCGGGAAGGCCGGCACCGCGAGTGACGGCCACCCGGCGGGGAGTCCCAAACGACACGCCCACGTGACGAGGACGGCTGGATCGCTGCTGTCCCGGGCTGCATGCCGATAGGCATGCCGGCACCTGAACACTCCTTCGCAGGGCTCACAGGGTTGGGTGCGTATCAGGCTGTTGGCTTTTCCTGTTGTTGCTTTTGCTGCTGACGTAAATGGATTGGCTTCTACCAAAAATCTGCCAGACTTTTTGTTACAGGGTAAATATCTTGGCGCAGAAAAGCATCCGTTGGGACCTAACAGACGCAGAACGCCGACAACTTTAATACGTTCGGCTCCACTGAGATGCACGCAATCTTAGAAGTATATTAAAAGCTGGACGCTCGTTTACATTCATTGAAAGCGCGCTAGCAGCTACAGCTGTCGGACAAGAGCATTCACCACAGAGTTTTGTGCACAAGTGCAAAACTCTGTGGTGAAGCGACTTGACCCGCAGCCACCACCGCTGAGACATAATAGTAGAGAGCTGCGCCCTTTTCGTCGGATTCATTCATATCGCTATTCTCAGCAGGTGTTGCTCTCCGAATATAAATAATTATGCAGCCAGATGTGAGCATCTAAGAGCCGTGCAGGAACAAAGTGCGGCTCCCGTATGCACCAGCACGTACGGAGGTGCGTTACACGGTGACAGCAATTTCAGCCATAGTGATGCAGCGAGGTCACAAGAACACAGGCTCGCATTTCAGCGTGCCTTGGCTTCGCTTGACGTCCGACCACCCCACACTCATGAGTGCCACCCACATGCTGGAGCTAGCCCACCCCGTGTCAGACGCTGCAGGTTCTGCGTTTTGCACGGAGAAGAATGAACAAATACCCCGTGCAGAAACGCATCATTCTCGCCAAGGTCAATGCACCTGAACCCACCGCATCACCAGACGTCTGCTAAATAATATTGCCGAACAGCTCCCGTTTTTACCACTGCCATATCGTATGCCAGGCGTTGTCCGTCCGTCCGGTGGAATGGCGCTGCCGAGAGCTATCATCCGTCCGTCTCCGAGCAATGAAAAGGGCAATGAACGTGTCGACATAGAAACGGGCACCAAGCGGTTTGTGGCCGCGTGATCCAGGACTTGACCTAAATTGCAAGAGACAGCGATGCTGGTTGTGGTTGTGGTATAGTGTAAACACACCTGAAAATGTGTATCGGTAGACGCCCGCGACCACGAGAATGGGATGTCACCAAACATTGGTTGGCGATGCCAGTGCAATCTTGAACAATCGTAATAAATTTTGTCGTTACCATGGGGGTATATAAATAGACTCCAATACGTGCAACATATGCTGTCACGCTCACTGGATCAAACAGGTGCAAACTTAACACGAAAGAACAAAATTGGGCAAACATGTGCAAACAAACTATTTGTTCACACACTGACTGCGTTGCCCGCTAATGCACAAGTGACGCATTAAGGACGTGCGCGAGGCTCCGTGCCAGGCATGCCGAACTACGGGACAGTCATATCGCCACAGCATTACACACACTGGTACCGGCAGCGGTAAACGAATCACCGCACACCATCTGGTTACACCTCCATGACGCATCGCAATTACCTGTCAGGGACGCTTACGATCGGAGCTCCCGCCACTGAGCCGTGTTAGCGGCAGTCGTGAGCTGGTCGGTCCAGCGCATCGGGTGACGTAACACGGTCATCAGTCAGGTGCCTCCTGCGTTTGTTACCGTTGCCTGCGCGGCTTTCCCAGACGCCGGTCACCTATCGGTCCCTCCGAGCGAGCCCCCTCCCGCGACACGTCATAAGTCGCGTTTTGCCACCTAGTCATCGCCGCACGGCTGCTCGCCTTCACGCCGGAAGGGGGACTGACCGCATCCGCCGCCACCCCCCCCCCCCCCCTCCCCAGCCCCGTCCTGCCAGCCCGGCATGCACCGCCTCCCGACCTATCAGACGCACGCGGGCCTGGGACATCTAGTGACGTCATGGGGACCACTTGCTGCCGACGTATAATTACCGCGGAAGAAAATGCTCCAGCTTGAGTGTGGAACAAGCAGGCGAGCGGACTGGTACACCGCCACGGACGGCTTTTGTCAGACCTGCTTGAACGATCAGCGATTCGAACATAGAAGACTGACATGAAGTTTTGGAGTGGGAAGTTCCCGTGGTCCAGACGTGAGGTAAGAGGCTCGACGTTGTGAGCGAAATCCCTGGTGGCCCTGCCATTTTAACAAGTCGTATACCCGCATCGCCTCGAACATTGCGATTGACTTTGATCGTGGTTGAAGATTCACACCGTGCTTTGATCGTGGTTGAAGATTCACACCGTGCTTTGATCGTGGCTGAAGATTCACACCGTGCTTTGATCGTGGTTGAAGATTCACACCGTGCTTTGATCGTGGTTGAAGATTCACACCGTGCTTTGATCGTGGTTGAAGATTCACACCGTGCTTTGATCGTGGTTGAAGATTGACATCGCTCTTCTCTTCGCACGAAGAGAAACAGGCGCTGCTGTCAATGGCACATCATTTAGCTTACTTTGCATTGCATGTTGTCTTCTTCGGATGCCTTGCACAAAACCAGGGCAAAATACGTAATGATTGACTAATGTGATAATTTTATGTGAATTCGTTATCTGTTAATCCCGAGTGCGATCGCTTAATGCGGGAGCTTGCGCGTAAGTGGTGATATCAAAATATTTCGACATTTTGTTAGCTTCGTTGACTCTCCGCACGACTGCGCATCCCCCAGCCGACGACATGAAGTGTTCATATCAAATTAAGGTCTTCTCGCAGGGACATGTGCTACCGTAATGTGCGAGATGGCCCGCTATCCGTCAGTCGCATAAAGGAATTTTTAACACAATGGCTTGTAAAAAGTAATGGCCGACAGTGGTGCAAAATGACAAAATCGAGCTGGAGGCTGCAAAAGGACCTCGGTAAATTTGCAGCAGCGGTCTGGCAGTAGGTAGCATGGGTACCCCAGCAACTCATTAAGCTGCACCGTGAAATCCAACCTTGCATTGGTAAAGAAAAACATGAAAGCCCAATTTTGTCTGATATATAAAACTTGGCTCTAAGTGACAGCACTGTTATTACTTGCGTGCAAGCGAAACGACTCCCCATGCTTTGTTTCTGGCCTGTGAACTGTTGCCGAACGAATTTGCTTTTGGAATCGCGCTGATGTTTTAATCGACGAATAAAGCACACCTATATATAAGCAGGAAACACTCGATATGACGCGCGAGACAAACATGCTCGGCTTTCCTGTAATGTCGTTGCCCCTCATGGTGTTCTGCCGGTGCCCATGTGCAGGCATCGTTGGACGCTGGAGCACGAGTATGGGGAGGGGCGGACTACACCAAAGGCCTTTTTTATAGGATATTGCACATGGAATGCCCCCGCGTATCAGCTTAATGCCCGTTTGACACCTGACCTTTGTCCTCAGGCGCACGTCGTGAACCCCCAGGCAGCCTCTCCCGAACAGTTTGTGGACACCCTCTACGAAGGCGATGAGAATCCCGAGAGGGGTAACTGGACTGGCAAGCTCGACTTCCTGCTCTCCTGCCTGGGATACGCTGTTGGTATGCCACTGTGCCGAAAACTGCATCTTGCGTTTACAAGAGCATCAAGTGCCTTCATTCAGCTCACTGATAAGTTAAAAGAGCTTGAATTCCGAGGCAATGCCAACTGTAACGCAATGACCCCAGTTTATAGGGCAGATCATGTGTTGAGTTGGTTTTGAGGACGTGATGTTTCCAGTAGTTACTCACCAACTGTAACGCAATGACCCCAGTTTATAGGGCAGATCATGTGTTGAGTTGGTTTTGAGGACGTGATGTTTCCAGTAGTTACTCACCATTTCACCGTGTCCATGTGGCGTCCGCAGGCCTCGGCAACGTGTGGCGGTTCCCTTACCTCTGCTACCAGAACGGCGGCGGCGCCTTCCTTATCCCGTACGCCATCATGCTGCTGGGCCTGGGCATCCCTCTCTTCCTGCTGGAGCTCACCATCGGCCAGTACAGCTCCATGGCGCCTATCACGCTCTTCAAGAACTACGCACCCGCACTGAGGGGTGAGCCCAGCGTCGCCGAGCCGCCGTGATGTCACAGACATGCTGTAACGTCGCAGAGCTGCTGTGACGTCGCAGAGCTGCTGTGATGTCTCAGAGCTGCTGTGATGTCTCAGAGCTGCTGTGATGTCTCAGAGCTGCTGTTTGCAAACGGTGCGGCGGGAAGCAGCCGTGCTTGCGACGGCGTTCATGTGGAGGGAGGGGGGGTTGAGAGAGAGAGAACTGGTGTCGCACGAGCATTCCATCGATGTCCATGTCCTGAAAGGGTGAAATCTTGTGCGCACATTCGGTTCGAAATCCCTTGCCCCTTTTAAGAGCCGTGATTAAACAGCATGCCGGTTCCAGGACTGGGCGTGGCCATGTTCCTGGCTTCCGTGGCGGTGGGCCTCTACTACAACATGATCATCGCCTGGACGGTGTACTACAGCTACTCCAGCATGACCTCAGATCTGCCCTGGCAGTACTGCGGCCAGGAATTCAATACACCACGTGAGTGAATCCACCGCCGCGCTGGCTGGAGTTGTCGACATCGGCTCTATCTACGCCCGGATGAATCAGCCGCATGCAACTGGGAGCCGTCGCACGTCGCTGATGACACAAAACACCTGGCTTTTACACCATTGTATTGTGCATTCGTCGCACGCCATCGTGCACAGCGGATGTGCTGTACGCTGATTGTTGAGGGTCACTCGCTGTAGCTTTGACAACATGCTGGCTATCTTCCCGCTATCCTACCGCTCTCGGTTTTGCCGACGTTGCAATCGAGTGCGAGGTCAGGCGAGGTTTATCAGAATTCCTGGTCGCAATCTTCGCAGCCGTGCGGACTCGCGGCACTTGCAAGGGAGGTCCAATTGCATCACGTCTTATCGGCTGGAATGCACAAGCTGCCACATGCGACGTAGGCTGTTGACTGTTGTTCATGTTGACTGCATGCAACACGGTGGTGCCAACGCAAGCGTGCGAGCCGACGCCAGCACAACGCCCGCCGTGCGGTTCGTGATTCATATTGAACCAGAGGCAAACATGCGCTGCAGCAGGCCGAGTGCACAAGTAATACCAACTCCCCGCTTCTAGATTGCTTCAGCAACAGCGAGTACGAACGATGCGACGCCATGTACGGCAACACCACGTGGTGGATCTACAACTACGGCCACTGCATCACCAACACGACTGAAGCCGACCAACTGCAGGTCAACAGCACCGTACCCGTGGCCAACCGGACTTCGCGTGAGTTTCCGTCCTTATGTCGACCGCGGGGGGGGGGGGCTTGCACATGCACTTTGGCCCGTTAATCCATTGCATATGCACTTGAGATCCGCTGTCAAGATCTTGCAGATCATTACAGCTAAACGGGCTTGAAGTTGTCTGCTTGGAACTATTGAATAAATAGCACAATTTCCTATTTCTGTAACTTAATTGCTGGGCGATTGTTACCAGACACCGTATGCAACTTATTATACACTTATGGTATCTTAAACCTCAAAAGTTATCGCTGTGAATTAGTTATTGTATCGTATTTTGTACGAGCCAATTAAGGAGTTATGAATTATTCAACTTAACTACAAGTGTAGATTCTATATTAGAAACCATGTGTACCAGCCGATTTGTGCGTCGTTCGTCCGAACATGTTGGCCCGTTAGCACGTGCTGTCAGTGTACCACAATGTAGTCACCACAGGGACACTAAGAAAAGCCCGCACCAGTCAAAGATCGTATCCCAACGCGTCATCAGACCCCCTGCATCCTGCCTGACCTGTAGCACCCAGGTCATTTGTCATGTGACGCGGCGTCCCCTCACGCCAAGCGCTCTTGATAACGCCGGCGCCTGTGCCCCGCAGCGGCCGAGGAGTACTTCACGCATCACGTGCTGAATCTGAGCGGCGGGATCGACCACCTGGGCCAGGTGCAATGGGGCTTGCTGCTGTCACTGTTCATCGCCTGGATGGTGGTGGGCGCTGCTCTCATCAAGGGCGTCAAGTCCTCCGGAAAGGTAACACGTATTCCGCCACGGACAATATTTGAGTGTAATGTAACATATAATATCAGGTTTGAGTAGATTGTTTGCATCGTCACACGGAACAGGCTGTCGCGTTAGGCTGGCTCGCGAAGCTAAATGCTGTGCATAGAGAAAACACTGAGCAGCAAAATGTTCACGAGTGTTTGGAAAGGGCCTTCGAGGTCTCCCTAGCCGGGTGTTTATGTTAACATACATCTGGGCTATGTACTTCGGTACAGATTATATACCGATTACAGATTCCGTACAGATAAGTCATTCATTTCGTATGTTATATAACCACTACCTGTCTATGCCTTCAGGTGGTTTACTTCACGGCACTCTTCCCATACGTCGTGCTTATTATCCTGCTGATCCGAGGTGTTACCCTGCCGGGGGCTTACGAAGGCATCAAGTTCTATATCGTGCCGGACTACTCCAAACTGACCGACATCAGCGTGTGGGTGGCGGCCGCCGTGCAGATCTTCTACTCGCTCAGCATCGCAAGCGGAGGACTGATCACCCTCGCCAGCTACAACAAATTCCACAACAACGTTATCAGGTACAGCCAGCGCGCAGAGCGCAGAGCGCAGAGCACGGGGCACTCGGTCTGACGTCACCATGCGTGGTGCGCACCCTCCAGGGCTTGTATGCCTCCCGTGAAGGCCGTCAAACTTGAAAGTGTAAAGAGTTAGGCATGTCGCCAGTACCTCGGACTTCATGCTTCAGCCGGCCGGCGTAACGCCTGAACGCCGGGCGACCCTTTCCCGGCCCGCACCTCGGCTTATGTTGCATTATGCTACGTTTTTAGGGACACGCTGATCGTTTGCTTCGGTAACTGCTGCACGTCGGTGTTTGCCGGGTTCGCCATCTTCTCCGTGCTTGGCTTCATGGCCCGGGAGCTGGGCGTTCCCGTCTCAGAGGTGGTCTCCAGTGGATCAGGTACGGCTGCAATTGGCGCGCGGATAGCCAGCAATTGGAGCATGTGATGCCACGGACTGTTGTCTCTTCGTGTATATAAAATGTATAATCACCGCCGCATTGTGCGTTGCATTTCATTTCCCCTCAGTAACTCTGTGTTCGGTGCCGTCTCAATTGTCCGTAACCTTGCTCGACGCCTTGTGGATGTGCAGCTGCCGTTCCGGTCGCATGCTGAACTTGACGGATTGTGTGCCGCAGGCCTGGCGTTCGTGGCGTACCCGGACCTGGTGACGCGCCTGCCCGTCTCCACACTGTGGGCGCTACTCTTCTTCCTCATGCTCTTCACGCTCGGCCTAGACTCGCAGTTCGCCATCGTCGAAAACATTGTCACCTGCCTGCTGGACGAGTTCCCTAAGCTGCGCGCCAAGAAGCCCTGGGTGGTTGTGGGAGTCTGCGTTATTCTCTTCCTCCTGGGCATCCCACTCACCACCCAGGTATGACAGCGACATTCGCATTGCTGTGTGTATTGTTACATTGAATTTCCCGTAATGCTGTTGTGGAGACCCGCTCTGTGCTTCTCGGCCCAGGTCCCGCACAATCCCACACAGTGTAGCGCTCCTTAGTTAGACAAGCAAAAGCCGTAGTTAAAAAATGTCCACTGTCCCTCTGAGGATTAATATCTAGATTCACTAAATGCCTAATTTTTTGTGTTCTATGAGATTCACGAGATATAACCATTAACTTAATCAACTTGACTTAACCAAATGCTCTTTTCACACGCCGAAATTTAGAAAGCACAGCTATAAGTTCGACTGAATTTTGTGAAGCAAGAATCTTTTCATATTTTGGCGTTCGTCACTGAATTCGACGTCACTCGTGGTTATCGGCTAATCTGCTGGGCTCTTCGCAATTTCTAGGGCGGACGCTACATTCTCGATCTGCTGGACTACTACGCGGCCGGCTGGCCCTACCTCGTCATTGGCCTAACAGAGCTGCTCGCCATGTACTGGCTGTACGGCATCCGCAACTACTACCGCGACCTCCTGGCCATCCAGGGCTTCAGTCCTGGCATGCGCCTGAAGGCCCACCTCACGGCCATTTACGGCACCGTCTCGCCCCTGCTGGTCGGGGTGAGTGACGCGCTGGATACTCCGGGACCGCTGACCTCGGCCTGGACGTGACGTCGCGCTGGGCTGGACTCATCATCGTCTGCGAGTTTGCCGGGGAGCGTCAGCGGCACGCGTGGATGTGGTCCGCGTGAATTAATGAAATTCGTTGGATTAATTAAAAAGCAGGTCCCGAAGGCCTTCGTGCTGTCGGCTGTGCAGGCAGATGATTCTATCTGCAGACTAAGTTCACGGTTATAGTTCACAGACCATATGGACAATGCTCATGTCATTTTATCGTACCTGTCGTTCCTCTTGTTAGGTGTCGTAAATCGGCCTTCAACTCTGACTCTGTTTCCTCAGGTGGTACTGATTCTGGGCTGGGCGAACTTCACCCCGCTGGTCTCTGGAGGATATAAATACCCCGCATATGCCAATGGCATAGGTTGGGCGGTGGCCATCCTCATCATCTCAGTGATCCCGCTAGGCTTCATCTACAATGTCGTCGTCGAGCAGAAGGGAAACATTCTGGATGTAAGTCGAGCCGTGCTCGTGCTGCTTGATTGTGCCATGGGTTACAGAAAAAGACTAAATGAGTTGCCTTGGGACAATCCCTCCGCTGTGGTTACTGAGGTTGAGCAGAACCCTGTAGGACCCAGGGAAAGGCGCTGCATAGAGAGAACGTATCATGTTTGTGTGGTGCACAGTGTTTTCTGCGAAGAGCCAGGCAGCCCACCAATTTGATTAACCAGGAGCTCCAGACCTTGGTACAGCTTTCCTTGTGCTTACATATATCTTGCAGCTCTGGACATATACAATAGGCTCAATGAGCTCAATGCAGCGTAGCCCTAGAGTTTCCCACGCGCTTTGAAGCCTGCTACGCTCGATGACGCTTGTCTTGAGTGATGACATTCGCCTCGGGTGGATGTTTCTGACGTGTATGCGTCGTCACCCGCCGCCTCCTCACCGGCGTGTGCTTCCACAGCGGCTGCGGCAGAGCATACAGCCGACGGAGGCGTGGTCCCAGCACTCGCGGAATATCGCTCTGAAGGAGAAGACAACCGCTGCCGAGGATGGTTTCGACACACCGTCCAGCGACCTCTACCCCGAGCTCACCAGCCAGTTGTAGTGGTGCACTCTAAGCCGTGACGAGGCCCATGGAGGGAGAAGGGGGTCTTTTACCACAGTGTTTTACGGAGTGTTTTGGGACTTGCATCAGTGTTTGAAAAAGAGCTGCTGTTTTCGTCCGAGGATCTGTGTAGCTCGGGAGCTAGAGTGCTAGTCGTCAGTGGTTTGGCCTGCGACGAATTTGCCACTCTGAAGCACTGCGATCAGTGCTGAGGAGGTCCAACGCTGTAGGCATGCATTTAGCGTACGGTAATGTGACATACGCGAGTGTGGTCAGTATTTTGAGCCCGCCTTAGGGAGGCACGTTTCTTGCTTGTTATGTGCGGGACCAATTTTTATATACTGCCTCGAGATGCAGTTGTGTACTATGTTCATGTTGTGTGATTTAGCTCACACCACCAGTATTCCATATGTGGAAATGATACCAGTGTGAATGTTCACAAGATATTCATTTTGAATGAGGTGGTGCCCTTCATGTGAAGTGACGAGCTTGCAGTGACTAAAGGGACTGTGATGTGCTGGGGTATGTTGTGGTTTTCCAGTTTTGCTACCTGTTTGTGCTGCATCTGGACTCCCACTGAATACAAAAGTTGCACGTACTCGGGGCATGACGTCGATTTTTCCATAACAAGCTGGGCAACGCGACGGGCATAACTAGCAGACCAAAGTTCACAAACTTGTCTCGATTGAAATTCGCATATTTTAAAACGACTATGATGCCCCGTGCCGTGTACTTCGTAAGCCACATGGAAGCACCGCGACGGCAGTCACTGACAGAAAGCCTGACTGACCCCCAAGGATCGCGCTCCTCTCCCTCGGGGCTCAGCCCAGAGGTGATCTGAGATCGAGGCGCCGGTGACCGGTTCCGATTGGGCCTTCAGAACCTGATCTGTTCGTCCAGCTCTTACCTCGTCGACGTCAAAAGCGTCCGGCATTGGCTCTAATCAATTTGCAGGTTCTGTAGCATGAGTCCTGACAGACATTACGACAGTGCAGCGTTACACCGAACGTTATATGCAGCGTCGGACGACACGGCGCAATCAGCAAACTCTCCGGCAATTCATCCGAGCCAAGCTTTCCGGCAATTCATCCGAGCCAATTTCTCAACACTTAATGAGTTTCCTGCAACCAACATGGTTGACCAATACTTAAGGGAAACTTGCGCTGAAGTGACGAACCTGTTTTACCGTACTCATAAGGTACTGTATTGACAATGCAGTTTTTTTTTGTTTTTTTTTTTTGTTTGGTTCGAACAAGAGTCCTTGCGGCCATAAATCGCCATTGCATAGCTGCGGGATGAAGGGAAGTGAATCGTAGCGGGACAACGCCACATGGAGCTGGGGGTCTATACCCGCAGGCCTAGCCCGCACAGCGACCCCTACACGAGGCAGGGACTGGGCCCCCGGACGGGAACCCCATCAACGGGCGCTTAATCCCCTCATGACTGGTGCAATATGCATCTTGCCCGGGACAAACGGGGCGTCGCAGGATGCATAATGAAGTGGAAATAAAGAGAAAAGGGCTGATGCAAGACATATGACAGTGCAGCAGCACCGCACAAGAATATAGGCATGATGCCTATGAAGAAAAGCACAATGTTTTGTGAACACTATAGTAAGTTACTCCCAGATATCAAATATATATATATATATATATATATATATATATATATATATATATATATATATATATTCTTATCTTATATATATATATCTTATATATATATAGATCACTTATATATATATATATATACTTATACATATATATTTCTATATATAAATATATATATATATATATATATATATATATATATGTGTGTGTGTATTTATACATATTACTCCAAAACGGAAGGATGCCTGGCAACGGCCATATAGGACGTTGTTGTTTTACGGTATATATATATATATATATATATATATATATATATATATATATACCTAATTCACTAGCTACCTCTTGCATAGCCAGGTTTCATCACTCGGTGCTCTTATACAAAACAGCCAAGTTGTAAGCTGTGCACACACTGCCACACAACTGTCACAGTGATGTGACCATTCAAAAGCCAGTTGACTCTCAATAACTCGACCGGCAGGCCGCACCAGCGTCTGCCCTACACTCAATGACCGCAGTGATATTTCAACAATATAAAGCTGTTGTGCCGACAATTTGTGACCAGATCGCAACGTTGGTCTTCAGCTGGCGGACAGCCGCCCTAAATTCAAACACACTGCAAATAACTGTGCGTTACTGGGCAGGGCGTGTATTCACTGACTGAGTTGGGTAGGATGGGCAGTGAAAAGTGGCCAGCCTGTCCCCAAAATATGCCAACAAACAGGTTGCTCCCCATATTTGGCCCGCTATCTTCCCAGGGTTGGCGGGGGGGGGAAGGGGATGGAGCCCAAGTTGGGGATGGGGGACTGAAGCCACCCTAACTGAATAGGAAACTACACCCCTGTTACCGGGTACAATTTTCCACTCTGCTGCGGCTCCGAACACAAAGCTGATGAAGCATGTGCTGATAAGCTGCCCTGCTGCAAGATGTCGCTCTCCAATATTGCCCGTCGTGCTGCTGGATCCTTGAGAATATAAATGAATGCGTGACTATGACTATGACTTTATGACTATCATGAAGGAACACGACTATGACTTTTAGGTAGAATGTTGGAAAAGGTAAAAACATCTAGAGCACGTGAGCAGATGGTGGTAGGAAACGGGGACACGACCTGTCGGGCGACGGATTCCCATCTTCCGGAGATGGACACCTGTTTTGGAAAATGAAACATATTGCTAGAGAGTCAAAACTGCGCGTATGCCTAGCTTGGAAAAAACAGCAATAAGCTAAAAAAGTTTGTGGCGACATATTCTATCTCGAAGCCTAAATGCCCGGGGGGCAATAAGCGTCATTTGCGCAAATGTGGGTTTCAGGGGGCACGCAAATACGTGATTTACGAATTTAAGTGTAGGCTGTATGGAAAGCATGGAAGGTACATAATCTATGTCAGGGAGTTCATGCACCCTAAGCGTCTGAGAAACACATGTGAGACGCTAAAAACAAAGCAGAGAATGTCCCTATTTAGAGCTCAAAGTCCTCTTCAGAGCGCGGGACCATTCAGATAGGAAGATTAGTGAGCTTATTCTCATAAAAAGCCGGCGACCAGACCTTAACGTACAAGGCTCATCATAACCGATTAAGCGAATGTTATTAGTGCCTTGATGTGTGATGTGAGTTAGCTTAAAATCGCTAACATGCACGGCTGACTGCTAACGCGTGATACACAATGCCTGTGTAATTGAAATTGGTTGCATGCATAAGTGATGCGTGACGCCTGTTTATATGAAATCGCTGGCATGTATGACTGGTACGTGATGAGTCATACCTGCTTACTTGAATTTGTTGGCGTGAACATGCATTTTTCACATATTTTGATTCTTAGTCACATATACGCTGCATGATAGTAATGACTAGTTATTGCCCCTTCTTCAGTCCCTGAATATTGGTCTGCAGCTCGCCATTTCCCCCCCCCCCAAAAAAAAACAACTGAAAAACGAGTAGGGTCGGCAGGCAATATTGAATTTAATACTGATGTTCTTTTTAAACACATGTAGCCGAAATATAAATGCATCTGTCTCTCCATTATTCCTGTTATTCTACGAGAAATAAGGCTATTAGTACCGTCATATCTATATGTATAATATTCCTCCCAAATGCCCTTAACAACTTAGAGCTGTAAATAGCTCTACCAGACACAACGACAGGTTTTTTCAGTACAGACAGAATGTGCAGTTGCAGGCGATCTCGGCGACGCTGGCAGTGCATGTGATCATCGCCCATCGGGCTTCCTGGCAGTGCTATCGGGTCTGCTGTTGGTTTTACCACTGCTAGAGTGCCGTGTTCGCCTGTGCGAGGCACCCTATCGGTGCCTGATAGCGGCCCCACCACTTCCAACTCACCGAGCTGCAGACTTTTCGAGTGAAGCGTCGATTGCACTCAACTGCAAACGGCGCAGAACGGAGGCTGAGCTTGCTCCCCGTCAGTGCCCCCCACCCCCCTGGCTTTTCTAGCTCAGCGTGCTTCATTCATTCATTTGGAGCGAGATCGCTGGTGAAACGAGTTTTTTAAACAGCGATACGGCTTTCAATGTGGACGGCTAGACACGGTCTTCAGACACGGCTAGACACGGTCTCACGCCTTCCATAAGCCGAGATCTTTGCAACCATTGCTATCAGTTCAGACTTGGTAACAGGAAACACAACTGTTTAAGGTTGCGTCGCTGCCTTACGTTACAAGGCTGTTACACATTTTGACAAGCCGAAGGTGCTCAAAATTTTGGCTTGAGCTAAGGATTTCTCGCCGCTTGGACAATGACATGACGCGTCTTTCCATCAACTTGACGTAATCGAAGTATTGTCGATCCTAACTGTCTCTATTGCCCTTCACGTGTAGAAGCTCAACAAGTCGTTCGTTGATTTTGAGGCGTCGGGGGAGAGATATTACGATTTGTGCTGGACTCATATGTCCGTCACTTGTTAGCAATAGCCTGACGACGTTTCCAACCTTCGCGCAACTCGTCGTCGCCATTGGGGCTCTACGACGCACTCAGTTGCTGAGGCTATACGGCGTCGCCTGCCTCTCACGTTCACAGGAATGGCGGGCACCGCCGGGGATTAAGCCCCCTACCTCTAGCTTCCCAGCCTCGCGGTGGTTAACGCACATGCGTTGACCATTACACTATCGGCACCCACTGCATGCAAATAAAACCACACAAATTCATACATAAACATTGGCATGCACTGCCCTTTTAAGCAGCACTCCAGTATTTTTATCCGCGCCGTGGTTGTGCTTAGGTTTTAGTTAAAGGGAATATTTCACATTTGAAGATATTGAAGCAAGCATCAGATATGATAAACCAGACTCTCTTATAACGATTGGTATACTTTTAAGCGGAAAAGACTGCTCTAGACAGCACAATTCTCTGCTTAGTAAATATACTCATCAATACGTCATGGTTTGATTATGTCGTCTTACCTTGCACAGCATTGATTGAAAGCTAATTGGCAGCCTTTATAGCTGGAAGTTATTCTCATGAACACCGGATATGAACGTTTCGACAGTTGTATTTTTCTCGGCTTTGATCGCCGCACGGCATATGCAGTGGTAAGATTCGAATAACGTTATGGTACCGTCATGAATGGCAAGGTGGATTCGAAGTGCTGTTGCCGAAATACTGTCCCACATTTTTTTTTCTCGCGCGCATGTAGCTCAGAAACTAAGGGGAAGGTCTGAAGGAGGACAGGATTGTGAACAGCACCGAAAGGTCTTCAAAATGGCTGTTTCAGTTCAAACCCCCATATAAATGTGGAACACTCCCTTTAACACGTGATAGTTGGCAGCACCGTTTTACAAAACAAAATTCCGCCCAAGCCACCCAGAGTATAACTTGATGGTATACGACAATTCTTCACCTTTACTGATGTCTGACCTTTCGTCTGATGCCGTCGTCTTCACGTCTTCACCTTTACGTCTGATGAGATGGAGGCATCAAGCAAGAATCCTATTTGACTGAACTCGGATTCTGTCGGCCTATCCAGAGCCTCAGCCTCGTAGTCATGCATTCAAATCGAAGCGAAACGAGCAGAGGAACTCCACTGAGGTTCGCAGGGAGCCTCAGGTTCGCAGGGAGCCTCCTTTGCGCTTCACCATCAGGTCACATCATGCAGCCGCGAGCTCCCTCACACGTCCACGGGCTCATGCACAGCACTGACATCCGCTTCTGAAGGCAGCCGAGGCGCTCTCTGGTAAAGACACGGCCTCCGAGCGGCAAAACTGCAGCCGAAAGAGCCGGTATTATCTAGAGGGCCTTCTGATATAGAGAGCTCAGCACCAAAAAGACCCTGAGCGGACCATGGGATCTCGGATAGCCCCGGGGGCACTCGGTGACCGGAGGGTTTTTCAGTAGCCAGAGCGTCAGTAGCCAGACAGGCCACTGAGCAGCTGAGAGACCCCTGAGTGGCCAAAGCATCACTGAGTAGACAGGACGGCCTTAAGCGATTACGGAAGTCCTGCAATAAAAGTGTAATAATGGCTACAGGGGCATCGAGGACCCCCTGGGCGTACAGAGAGCCCTTAGGTTCACAGAGTCCCACGAGCAGTCAGGAGGTTTCTTGGCTGGTAGAATGGCCTCTGATCGGCCAGTGCACTCCAAGTGTCCAAAGAGGTATGCTCTGACGACTAAATGGGTCGCTGAGCGGCCAGTGGGCCATCACATGGGTGTAAGAACACAGGGCTCGGAAGTGCCAAGGGGACCAAGGGAGCCAAGGAGGATAACCAGGCAAGGACTATGCTCAATTGACAGCGTCTTCGGCTTTTGCCAGCTGATTCTGTTTAAATACGTCCCTCTGGCTTCTGGCGGCTGAGATATCCGTATGCTCCGTGCGCCTGCGCCATCGGATATGCGGCGACTCTCTTCATCAGCATGTTCTCATCGGACTACTTCTACAGTATCGCCTTCTCGAGCAGAGCGGAACCCTGCGGGATGTGAGTGGTTCTGATACATCGCTCCGGGCGTCGCCTGCAGTCGTTCAGCACGACTTGTGAGCACGAAGCGCATATGGTCGGATCCGCTTTTCAGAACAGCAAAAGTCCAGCTGATGGTTTCGATATGCATAGGTCGATGAAGAGTGCGTGCGATCCCATACTGCAAGGCCGTGCCACTGGCCGTGCCACTCGGCGCAGTCACGGGACAAAGGTAGTGGCACACCTGACATGTTACGGGCCTTTCGGCAGTGGCGCAGGAGCAGCTGTTGAAACCAAGGATGAGTGTTTCCAACACTTGCGTGAGATCAGGGAGACGGCAGCCATAGGGCAGGACGGCTTCGCGGAGATCGCTCCCGTCCGTGCAGAGATTACCAGCCGTTTGAAGATCCGTGGCGTTCGATTGAGACACGTCAGCATCTCCGGCAGCCATCAGCTTTGTTAGACGGTGCATGCTTTCGAGGTGGGTTCCGCTTTACTCTCATGCTACGTACCTGCTTCGCTCTGTGCTCTGTGCTCTTTCTGTGCTCTCTCCATGCTCTGTGCTTCTCGGACATTGACAGCGGTATCCTGTATTGTTATATGTGAGCACCGCTACGGATAAGTGCAACCAGCACGTGCAATTACCCCGATGGCCAGGAATCGTATAACCGTTGTCCTTAGCACTGAAATCCCCACGATTCGCAGCATGCATCAAGGTAATGTGTAGGGTACACGTGTGCGACCGGTGCGTTCCTCTTCGCAACTTTCTGCCATCAGGATGTGTTGTTAAGTATTTGCTCCTATTGCACGTCGAAAGTGACCTTTCTGCTGGCGTCAGCATGATGACGGCACGCTGAGAGTGAGCTGGCGTCGGCATGATGATGGCACGCTGAGAGGCTTTCAGTGACGTCATAATCCTCTCCCAGATACTCTCACATGGTCGCCGTTGTATCGCGTCTGGTGGCAGCTAGCTGGCGCAGCGCGCATCACCCGTTTGTCCGAGGGGAAGTATCGCCATGGCAATGTATAGGTTTAAAGAAGTGTTTTTGCCGGTGTCGAGGTAATCCGGATTGTTAACGGCGCGACTCAGGTTATGGCATGACATTCTCCGGTTATCTCCTGAAGTTTGGCAACGCCGCTCACGTCAGACTTCCGTCCAATCGTGACAACGCGAGCTTTGAATCTTTCTCGATTAGGTTTGGTGACGTTGCCTGGCAAGATCCGTGGCAGGTTATGTCTAGCTTTTTGTTTTGCTTCTCCAGTCTTTTTCCTGACAAGTTGATGGCGGATTTTGACTTGTCCTCGTGCTCTGAACGTGATGTCCATAACGCACAGTTAAACGCGCACACTTGTGTAAATAATTTACTTGGGACAGATTGGCATGATGAGACACATGAAAGCTACTTCCACACAACCACAGCGGTCTTCGCCCCATGGAAGCGACACGCGCACGTCCGAAAGTCCGTCCTCACTTGCACCGCGCCGGGCAGCATGACAGCTCCCGCAGATCGACCACCGGGGAAGATATGCTGAATAGGAAGGACGGCGGCGGGACGGGACCCAGACCCAGCCCCGGCTTTCGGCAGCGAGTCGGCCGGTCCCGGCGCGCGGCTGCACCAGGCGACTCGGCGGGCAGCCGGCGGTAGGCTCGACGTTTCTGGGCAGCGACGGCGGCGGGTACCTGTGCTGGGTGTCAGACGGCGAGGGATGGGGCGTCGCCCGCCGACCTCTCACCGCGAGGGCGTCCCTGGAACGGCACCATCTCTCGCCCACTGGTCGTAGATGACCCTCCGAGGAGGCCGGGCATTCAGAGGCCACCGCTCAGCCACGCCGCCCCAGCGGCGGACGAGGCGGCGTCGACTGACGCGGCGTCCCGCACAGTGAGCGGCCACCGCGCTGCCCGCCAGCGCGGGGCCGGGCCGGGCCGGAGCCGCAGATTTGGCACAGAGTTCAGGCAGATAGGTGCCGCGCGTCGGCAGCGACACTGTCCGGCCGCTGTACGCAGAAGTAGTGACCGCTTCAGACACAGTCCAGCTTGCTGGCTCCGGTGGCGCGAGCACCAGCGCTGCGGCCAGGAGCATCGCCGGCCGGGAAAGTAAGTGCAGAGTGGTCGAGAAGTCGCGAGGCGACCTCCGAACTCACTGGGCGGCCGCGCGCGATAGGCGTGGTATAAACCAAGCCGCCCCGGGCGGGCGGCGGGCCGCCTCTAGCGCCCTGTTGTCAGTCTGGGAGGAGGCCACGACCAAGTCTGAGTGCCGCGTCGCCCTACACGCGCCACGCCGCGGACGCCGTGAAGCGGCGCCACCTAGCGGCCGCTCGCGGCGACCCACGGGACGAATACGAGGTGGACGAGGCGCAAGCCAAACACAGCACGAACAGTCATAAAATTAAGTCTAAAGGACTATGTACGACAAAACCACAGAGCCCGCCGGCGAGCATCGTCGCCGTCGCGGCCCGCTCTCCACTCACACGCTCGGTCACGCCACACTCATCACTCTTTGGTCGAAGTTGAAGCGCATTTGTCTCGCGGATTGCACAGCGTCCCAGATCAGAGCGCCGCCTCGGGCGCCACGACGGCACGAGGCCGGCCCGCGTGCGGCGCCACTGTCTCGCCGGGCAGAAACACCTCACAATCGGATTCCGGCTCGCCGGGGAACAGGAAGTGCTGCGCGCCGCCCGGCTCGGCACGCGGCGTGACGTACCACGAGTCGCTGGCCGACGAGCTGCCGTTGACGAAGCCCGAGTCACCGGACGGCGGCGGTCGTTTGCAGGGCGGCGGCGGCGGCGGCGGCGGCGGCGGCGGCGGCGGCGGCAGCCCGGCCGACGGCAGCGGCCGCAGCGTGTCCTCGAGCGTCAGCGGCGCGCCGGCCGGCCCCGAGAGCGAGCTGGCCGCCGACGAGGCCGGGGAGCCGGGCCCGTCGGCGCCCGGCGACTGGCTGATCGTGGAGAGCGGCCGGCGCGGCGGCAGCGCGGCGGCGCGCAGCACCTCACGCAGTAGGCTGCCGCTGCCCGAGCTCGACGCCTCGCTGAGCGTGTCGGGCGACGCGAGCGGCGCCGCCGCGCCGCGGCCGGCCCAGCCGGGCGGCGAGCTGGGGGCGGCGCGCCGGCCGGTCCACACCAGCTGTAGCGTGCTCACCGAGCCGGCGTCGTCAGCCGGCGCGGCTGCCGGCGGCGGCGACTCACTGCCGAAGCTGGTCTCCAGCTGGAGCCGGTATGCCGGCGGTGGCGGCGCGGCCGGCAGAGGGCAGGGCACCAGCGGGCGGAGCTCCTCGGCCAGCGCGGCTCCTCGGCCCGGCAACGTCCGCACCGGTTTGGCGGGGCCGACGCAGCTCAGCACCTGGAGGCGGCGCCACATCACCACGGGGCCGGTGGCCGCAAGAGCCGACACCCGCTCACCGCACATATCCGCCCGCCAGTGTGGCAACGTGCGTAAAGACCACAGATCACACGAAATGGCGGCAAGATGTCCCCACAACTGAGAAAAATAGAGGAGAAACATCGCTATTCTTTGATATTCTGAGTGACCGTGTTATGGCGTGCAGCAACGTATGGTACATAGTATTCCCAGCCCGAAAACACGCGTCCTGACTCACGGTGTAGATCACGCTACACACAAACATGCTCTCTATCTACGTCACACCCGAATCATGCACCAGGCATCAGTTCTTGTCCAGTAGCGCGCCGACAGTCGCCGAACCAGCCGTTGGCCGACGCTACAGTCCGAGCCGCCGATGGCACACCTGGCCGACTCACTACCAGCTGCGGCCCGGGTCACCCTCGGGCGGCTCCGGGCCCGGGCCGAACCGTCATCGTCCTCGCTCGGCCGCTGGTGGCGCCGCCCCGCGGCAGCCGGCTGAACCTCGCCGCGGACGCCGGTCACCCGGACCTCCGCGGTCTAGGCAGCGACCGCACGGTCCTGACCGCGCGTCGGCGAGCGTTCGGTTTCACCACAGACGGAGCCGTGGCCGCGGAGACCGTGCGCACCGTCTGGGCTCGTGTCGCCACACTCAAAGCCGAGGTTTTCTCCGCCGTTGACACTGGTCGACCTGACCCCGTTGCTGTGGTCGCTGGTGACGCGAGCATCATCACTGAGACCGGTGAGATTAACTGCAGCATTAGCACCGGCGGTGTTAACTTCACCGCTGTCACCCGCAGTTTCAGTCTCGCCATCTGACTTATCGGGACTTATAAGGCCATGACAGCCGTCAGGAATGAATTCAACTTGGCACCCGTCTCCAGTGTTTGCACACTCGAGGGGAGGCTGCGCGCCAGCTCGGGCGGATCACCGGCATCACTGGGACTGCCGCCGGCATCACTGGGACGGCCGCCACCACCGTCGCTGGCGCCTCGCCCTCTGGCAGGGGCACCGATCCGTCCTCTATCGCTGCCAGCCTCAGCGGGCCCGCGCGCGGCCTCGCCGGGGGCGGCGCGAGCGTTGCCGCCGGTGCAGAGGTGGCCGCTGTTCCGGGACGAGCCTCCCTCCGCGCCGCCAGAGGCCGCGATGGCGGCGTGTCCGGTGGCCGGAGGAGACCCAGGCTCGCCGGCAGCCGCCCGACAGCCGCCGTCGCCAGGCCCACCGGCGTCGCAGGCGTGGCTGGTGTCGTGGGCGCAGTCACCGCTGGCCCGCGCGTCGGCCGACACCGGCGCCGGCGCCGGGACGGCCGAGAAGGCGGCCGCCGCCATGGCCTCGGCCAACGTCTGGCCGCGGGAGGAGCGGGCCCGTGAGTGCCTCGGCCGCCGTGCGCCCGGCGGCCGGCCGATCGCTCGGTGGCTCCACACGACGGCACGCCGCAGATGCCACACATGCTCACCACTGCACCAGGCGGATTAGCAACAGCGAGCAGCTAGGCAAGGCCAAGTAGTATGTTCGAGTGAAGCACAGCAAAAGGGCAAAGGGGAAAAGCAAGAGCTGATCGAATGCGGGCAAATATCTCAGATCAATCAGGACGATAGCTGGACCTAACACGGATATTGAGCCAACACTCTAGCCAAAAGAGACTGACTACCCCATCAGCAAAACGACTCCTAGGCAACGCCCCAGAAAGTCGTGAGGTCCGTCAGCATCCCCGGTAAAAATGCACTTAAAGTGTGCTAGAAGCCGGCACAAATATAGACACCAGAAAGTGAAGCGATGACGCATATCATCCAAGCTAGCGCATCAGTACGTGATCACAGTATCACCGGCACGGGCGCGCTGCAAGCACGGCACACTGACAACAGGCAGGCAGGCAGGCAGGTAGGCAGGCAAAGCGGCGCGGCCAGCGACGGCCGCCCTGAGCTCTCACCTTCTCCAGCGCCTGCAGCACCTTATCCGGCATGTGGTCCTGGATCATGACCGGCGAGATGAGCACCTCGTCGAACGAGTCATTCTCCACCCAGATGGCCTGGTACACGGGTTCCGAGCGATTCACCCGCTTCCTGTGGGCGCGCGGCACCGGCGGCGCGTGAGCAAGAGCGTGCGGAGGCGGCGCTCGCCCCCGGCGGCCGTGAAAACCGACCAGCCGTGTGACACAACAAGCTACCACTGTTTGGGTGTCCCCTACAGCAAACACAATCTCCAACTTGCCAGCAGAAACGCTCACACGCAACTCAGAGATACGTACGTGTGCACGCGGTCACAGGCCGGACGAAGCTCACACACGCCTATTTTCGGGCAGCACAGCGCCACTGTGGCAGCACCTTCCCTCGCAATCGACCGGCGCCGCCGCCTGCTTGAGGCCCGAGAGCAGGCTCGCGGCGCCACTACTAGGGGACGTACCCGCGCGCCGCCGGATGGTGCCGCACCACATGCATCACCCGGCCCGGCGGGTACAGCGGCTGGTGGACGGTGAGCGCGATGGTTGAGTCGCTGGGGTGCGCCGACAGCTGACGGCCGGCGGTGCGCCGCTGCAGCAGGTCACCGCAGGCGCGGCTCGACGCCTCCTCGCCGCGGCGGCAGGCGCAGCACGAGAGGCCGCCGCCGATGGCTCGCCACTGGCCGACAGCAGGGTCAAGTCAGCGGGTCGCCGGGTCACCGGGTCACGGGGTTAGACAACGACAGGGGCCGGTCAGAATGATAGGCAATGGGTTGGGCAGGGTCGGGAAGGGAGTGGAGGGAGGCAGAAAACTAGATCCGGTCAGAACGGTGAGAACGGCGCCAAGACAGGTAACATTGTGGCTGCAAGGAAGACACTGCCATATTACCTTACCAACCCGCCTGTTATCGCACGACACGGCTAGTAGAATACCCATGACGGGGAGAGGGTCTGAGTCGTACAGGTCTGGCAAGTCAGGCCGACAAGGCGGTGGGAAACGACCCTGAGTGGAGAAGCGGAGTATGTAGCCGGTTTTCAATGTTCACACTTAACTTCACGTATCTTTTTGGGAAGAACTTGAACTAGCGTAAAATGTCATGAATAGCTTTGCACAGAACTTCAGCTACTGTCAAGACAGGTGTGAAATTTTAGACAGGACTGGGGGCAGGCGTCTTGCTGCATCTAGTTCAGGGCCGTGGGACCTCCGACCCACCGGAGCGCCAAGGACAACAGCCATTACCGCGCTCACCACACGAAGTCCCACTTTGTTTCACGCCAGGCGTTGTCAACGTCCTCGGAGCGTGTTCTGGCCTGCGCTCACCTCCCCCACCCAGGCCGACCCGGTCCTACCTTGGACTGCTTGCTATGCTTGATGACGTCCATCAGGTCTGAGCGCAGCTGCTCCAGCTGGTGCAGGCCTATGCGCGGCACGACGTCCTTGCCCACCACCACGGACGTGATGAATTCCTTAGTGTGCTCCACCGCCGGCATACTGCCGCGCCAGCCCGCATCAGCTCACAAGCGCCTCCGCCTTTTAGGCATGTACACGCCAGCCAGCGCCAGCCGCCCACACGATGCAATTAGTGCTTAGTGCTGCCTCGCTGCACATTCTGTTAACTGGTTTAATGCTAAAAAAATCAGCGCCCAAAACGAAACGGCGGCGTCTGCAATGGGCTAGCCCCATGCGAGTCACGCGCACGCGCCAACAGACCGTCAGCTGAGAGCGGCGTCTGACCTGAGCAGGCCGCCTGGCGGCGAGTAGGCGAAGCAGCGCAGCTCGGGGTGGGTATCACGCAGCAGGATGGCCAAGATGGCGGCCGTGCCGGCGCCCAGCGAGTGGCCGACCAGCACCAGCCGGTAGGCGGACGGGCCGCGCCGCGTCGCCGCGAACGCCCGCTCCAGCAGCCGCTCAGCGGCCAGCTTGTCCCGGATGTACTCGGCCGTCTGCACCATGCCCTGCCGTCGGAGGGGGATGCGCTGCACTGAGGTGTCGCCGGCTCGGCTGCTGCGGGAGCGGCTGAGTACCTGGGCTGTGTGCTTTAGACCGCATCGGGACCAACTAACTCACGTTCGTTCGCCGAAGACATTATTGCCGATGACACCTACTGGCAGGCATTGGGTCGCGCCCGACGATCTTTGCCAGTTATCATTGTAAACACAGCTGATCACGCTATAACAAAATGACAACCACACCGGACAACGCTGCCCTTCTTACGGCTTCAACCGCCGACTTTTTGCCAAGGACAGGGCATCTCCGCCCGTCTGCCGCAAAACACGGCAGCCATTTCCCGCAGAGCCGCGGCGACACTGTACGCACCCGGTGGCCGAGCCAGTCGTCCCTGACCGGGTTGGTGGGAATCGGCTCCCCCTCACACTCGAGGTCCGTCACCACGTCCTGCCGCACACCGGAGGACGTCACAGGCCGCCGGCGCGGCGCGCGGCGCGCGAGCGGCCCAGCCAACCAGGCACAAGCAGCACGTTTGGTAAGCAGCCTCACACCGCCGGCAACAACACAGCTCGCGTACATCCCGCCACCCACCTAACACCAGCGAACGCCATTAGCCTGCTGCCTCAACGGTCATTAGTTGTGTTCTAGACCCCCCTGGCGCGCGGCGCTTACGAGGACCTGACTTTGGCGTGATGGACAGCAGACAGATTCGCGTAAGATGCTCACCTTGGTTGACATAGTGCCCCTGATGCAGACAATCACCACTTGTCTGTCATGGTCCACCGCCACCATGAACGGCGTCTCTCCAATATCAACGTGGTACGTGACGTACACCAATTCTACGTCCTCCAGTGGCGCCATCTTTTGCGTGGCGGCCGAATTACACATGCAGCAGTTGTCCTCCACAATCTCGGCGCCAGTGTGCAGCCGTTTGCAGCCGCACCTGTGGTCAGTTGGCCAGCGTTAAACACCACAATTGTGTTCTCTGCAGTGGCAGCGTCATCAATGCAACATGAATCCACATGTGGACGGGAAGAACTCGTGCGGGACCCACTTATTCTACCTCTACATTCTAGAGATTTCAGTCAGATGCAGTCTCGGGATTTTGAGAGTTTCACTTCTAGGTTGGGAAAGAGCAAGTTACCCCACTGTCCGTCCCCCCCCCCCCCCCCTACTACCGCGACGGCGCCTGCGCTCTTCATCTCAGAAAAAAGTTAATGAATCACGGCATGCACGGCTAGCACAAGTGTTCAGGGCAGCGCACGACGATGTCTGCGCCTCGCGCGCGGACGCAACACCAACCGCATCACTTCCCCAGGCAGCGGAACCCCTCCTGTAAATCAGGGACAGCACGCCTCGCTCTCCACTCCCCACCCCGCGCCTGCCCGGCTCCGGTTCTGTTGCTGCGGCCGGTGGTCGCCGGCGCCGTCGCCGGGCCGGCGGCGAGGGACGGGCTGCCGCCCGCCGCCAGCGTCTGCTTACTTGAGATAGGGGCAGAGCCGGCAGCAGCCACTGCTCGAATGCTGCATCATGAACACCGGCCAGCCGTAGATCGACATGGCGAACCTGGCGGACGGAGGTGGGCACGCTCAGCTTGGCGACCTTTCCAGCCAATCTGCCGCCGCACCGATCCGCACCGGTGACGTCACAGTGTGACGTCATTCGCTGGCGTCGTGACGTCACCGGCCAGGCAGGGCGGCGCTTCGGGCGCCGGAGCTGGGCTCGTCAGAATGTGGATCCGGTCCATCCAAGCCACCAACGCCCCAACTCCCAAGAAAATGGTGACGTAAATGGCTCATGTCGATGACGCCATAATATCCGCTGTTAAGATGCAAGTTTAGCGGCCCGATACTTAGCACACACTTAGCTGCACGTCATACCCAAAATACCCACACTGGAAAGCCACAAAACTCTCCCTTACGTCAACAGCGCGTTCTGTTCTAAAGACGCGAGCAACACATCGTCGGTGCCGCCGGTCCTTCCCACCGGTCGTCGGGATGTGACTACCTTTCCTACCAGTCGTCGGGATGTGACCACCTTTCCTACCGGTCGTCGGGATGTGACCACCTTTCCCACCGGTCTTCGGGGTGTGACCACCTTTCCCACCGGTCGTCGGGGTGTGACCAGCAAGAGACGAAACCGGCGCCAAAAGGCGAGCCGGGCCCCTCGCGGCCCCGAGCTCCTGTCACCGTCCGTCGCGCCGCCACAAACACTACGCACGCCCGACCCCAGCAGGTCCGTGACCAATCGGCAGAGATCTGCGCCCGTGCTGTCCCCCCCCCCCCCTCCCGCAGTGACGGGTCAGCACGCGCAACGATGGGGTCCGAGCTTTCGTCCATATACCGCCGCCGGAGCGCGGCCCTTGTCCCTGATCGGCAGCCCGTCAAACGTCAGTGTTTGTTTGAGTCATAAGCTCTCACATATCGCGCAGACCGTTGAGCAGTGCGACAAGCCGTAAACAACAGCGGGAGGAACGCCGTTCTGCGGCCACTACAGCTCCGGTCCGGAGGGGATTGGGAGTGAGCCGCAACGATTACGTGGCCCCAGCGCCACTGAACTGAACAGTGAGGTACGCTGCCCACCGAGGCACGACAGAGCGCCGGCGCACCAAATCGAGGCACCACAGGGCGCCACTGTACCAAACTGCCCCAATACTCATGCGGAGAATCGGGGTCACTGGAATGGTAAGTTATGACACACCCGTGTTGCGACCTCAGCCGGTGCAACACTAGGGTTGCATTCCGTTATATGTCGCAAGTGCCTCATCACCAATGACCATCTGGTTCATCATTCCAATCATCTTCATAACCGCGGTGATCTGACGGTCCGCAGCATTTGTGAGCAATGGACTTTTTCCATTCACGGACTCACCAGTTGCCTAGCAACACACACCACCCGTCTCAACGCACCTCGCCTCAGCGTAGCTGGGCAGCGCCGGCCCGCCCCACTCACCGCATGTAGTGGATGACGTCTTTGAAGAAGGCCAGCTGGTCAGGCCTGTTGAGCGCTAGGAAGGTCGAGGTCGGGGTCACCTGCACGCCCGACAGGAACTCGTACGTGTCGTTGGAGGTCTGCCGGTCGGGGACGGGTGGGCATCAGCCACCATACCCACCCAGCTCGGCCAGACACTCCCCACCGCAGCGTCACAGCCCTGTCTGAGGTACGCTGAGTCCCCCACCCACCGCACCGCTCCCCCACCGCAGCGTCACAGCCCTGTCTGAGGTACGCTGAGTCCCCCACCCACCGCACCGCTCCCCCACCGCAGCGTCACAGCCCTGTCTGAGGTACGCTGAGTCCCCCACCCACCGCACCGCTCCCCCACCGCAGCGTCACAGCCCTGTCTGAGGTACGCTGCGTCCTCCACCCACCGCACCGCTCCCCTACCGCAGCGTCACAGCCCTGTCTGATTGCACTACTCCCGGCCAAGGAGGCACCGCCGGCACGCTCTCGTCCAGGCAAAGCTTGTGTACGCAACCACCGCACGAGTTCATGCTCGGCGCGTGGTACACCGATTATAACAGCCGCACGTCCTGGAACGGACACGCATGCCTGCAGGAGGACGAATTATCACTGTGCACGCTCGTTCCACACACGGACGTGATGCGCTTAGGGTTCAGATGGCTCAGTGTGCGTAAGTTCTCACGCGATGGTGCATTTGGGACCGTCCAGTCGCACCTACACAACGGAAATATCTACCAGCCAGCATCCAACGTGATAACGCGCACGTGTCAGATTACCGGTTGTGCTCAAAGAGAATGCGTGCCCGATACATTTCAGCACCGTTTAGCACGTTGCGGAGCCATGATTAGCTTTCCGCGCTTGCCATTGCGCATGTACAGCCAAGCTTGGGAAAAAAGCGAAGGCTGTCGCCCACAAAAAGCTGAGTGACCCACACTTCTGAGGCCGGCGTATCCCACGCATGGTGCCGATTGTCGACTGTCAACGTCACTCGGTCCCGTGCGTCGGCCGAATTCCACGACTGAACGACGCGGGGTGACGGTCGCCACCCCCGTCCAGCGCGCACACTATCTCGGGCAGAGGCGCCGGCCGGTGGCGGGTGCCCGGCAGACACCATGCCATTACGGGGGCCCGGCGCAGTCGTGACGTCACGTGACCGCCACGCGGGTCCGGCACCGGCCGGGCCCGCGAGGCGTTGACGTCACCGGTCCGGCTGCGAGCTGCCGCGCCACGTGACAGATCCGACGATGAGAGACGACGGAGCCGCCCCTGGCACCGGCGTCACCGCCGCCGCCCGAAATACGCGCTGGGCGTTGCGATTGCCTGCCGTCCCAGGCGGGGGCGAGCGCCGCCGCGCCCGCGGCGGACTGGCCGCAGCCGGCGCTCGGCTGTCGCGCCGCCGGTGCCGAGACGCGTCGCCCCGGCCAGCGGCCGCGCGAACGCGGTGGAGCCGGCTCGCTCGCCCGCCGGCACGGGCTTCCTTGTGGGCGGCGCTGTGACACAGTCCGCCGCTGGGACGCCCGGTCGCCAACAGGGGCCAAGAGTCGAGCGGATCGGGGTGTTTTATCCCATCTGACCGGACAAAAGACCCCGCCGGCGCCGAGCCCATCGGTGAGGGATCGATGAACAGCAGGCCAGACGAAGGCCGAGATCGAGGTTTGTCTCCCCACCACCGGCAAACGGATCCAATCTAAGCAAGCGTGATGTCGGAAGCTACCACATCCTGTCCAATTTGTACTAAGTAAGCGTGATGTCGGGAGCTGCCATATCCTGTCCAATTTGTACTGAGTGACCTGGCGGATGACGGTGCATTCGAGGAGGCACGTCACGAGGCTCTTACTACAAAACGATAGCGTCACGAACGCATGCCTCCTGACCAACTTCCGTCCGTCCCGATACGTCAGTTGGCTGGAGGACCTGCCTCCCCATCCACCCACCCGTGGCGCGGTGCGTGCAAGTCGCTTCAAGGACTCAGTTTGTTCCTGACTGGGCATGGCCTACAGCCGATGGCAGCGGCAATGATAAAGAAAGGACAGATGAATGCAGAGGGCAGTGCTAAGCGTGCCGAGCGTGGCGACACGTCAAGCTTTCGCCCCCAGATGCTGCCGGGGACTCGGAATTTCGCGATCGGATGACGGACTCAGGACTCAGGCCACAAGTGCGGATCAGTGCTTGGCACGGGCGCTGATCCCAGACACCAATCAGACCACAAGATTCGAACCATATATAAAAAGTCAGTGTGAAAACCACCGGCCTACACGTGATAGATAATAACTGATGTTCGTAGAAGTTCTGGCCATGTTGCCTACAATTTATACGATGCTCTTGGCATTGCATCATTTCGAAGTTCCAAACCTGTTCAAGCCCTGCGGCAGTTTACCTACAACAAACGGGTCACCGACACAAACATTGCAAGATCGACCATCATCTCGGAAGCAGCCGATAAGCACATTGAACGTCGCCCACGACGCCTGTCACGTGTGCGGACGCGGGACCGCTGGGTGACACAGCGGGAACGAACACCTGTTCCTTGTATGGCCTCCGGGCCGGACGGCGCTAGCTGGGCAGCTGAGCTGACACTACCAGCTGGCCAGTTGGGAAGGTGACCGGACAGCGTTAGCTGGCCAGCTAGACAGCTGACCGGACAGTACCAGCTGGTCAGCTGGGCACATGAGCAGCCAGAGTCAGCTGGCCAGCTGAGCGGTCGCGACTCACCGACTTGACGATGTTGTTGCGCTCCAGCTTCTGCACCTTGCGCAGCAGCACGACGCCGGCCACGATGTCGGATGGCACGACGTCCAGGTCTCGGAAGAACTCGGACAGCAGCTGGGCGATGTCGGCGAAGGAGTTCTGCCGGCCAAGCGCCGCCGGGCGTCAGGGTGCGCTCGGCCGTGCGGCGGCGGCGCCATCAGCCAGCGTGCAGCCCGCCGACGCGGCGGTGGCGGGCAGTGTTCAGTGCATGATGGATTTCATGACGCGAGGGCTTCGAACAGCTGCGTTGCTGTTTTGTGCAAGTCACGTGGGACAGGTCGAATACGTTATCACATCCCTGCTGCATGCTCCACATCAGCAAGAACCGGATGTCAGGAAGAACAGCGATGTCCAAGCAGTCCTGTTAATTTCCTACTTAATGGGGGCTTCGCAATCCCCCCCCCCCCCCCCGTCAGAGGTGCCATATTATTACCAGGGGCGTTGGAGGCCAACGAGGTCGCTTGATGATGTTGTATACGGAGCACCAGGGTTTCTCGAGAAAAAAAATATAAAAACGGGGGGGGGGGGCACAGTAAAAGCACTCTAACGCTGGTGGTAGCAACAGAGTGCATGCCACTGCCGCAGAGCTCACTTTTGGTACACTGTTCAACGGGAAACTGCAGACCCCGTACGGAGGAGTTGTCCCATAGCGCTTATTATTCGGCCAGCACTGGTGGCAGATGGTAGTCGGGCCGGGACAGGCCATCCGCCTCGAGATGTCCCCAGTCAGGATCTGCCCACGCATCACCGTCAACAACGTCACAGCGCCAACCACAGCAGCACCGCGGCCCTCCCAGCCGCGGGGCGCGGACGGCCGCCAGGCCGGAGCCAGGCCGGCGCCTACCTGGTTCCTGTCGGACCGGTCCATGCAGCAGAAGAGCATGCGACACCTGCTGTCCCAGGAGTCGCGGTAGGCACGTAACACCTTCCTGTGGACGGGCGGGGAGTGAGCGCACTGCGCATGCGCCTCCCGCAGATCGGCTGGCGCGGCTGCCTGTCCAGCAGACGGCATCCAAAACTATGCTACAAAGCATGGACACTTGGCGCATCGAGTGAGTACGCCCGTTCTTATGCACCTGACACAAAGCTAAAAACCCGCCAGTGCATAGTTTCAGGGCTTATGATGAGACATTCACTCTAACAGAGCAGTCTAAAAATTAGATCACATGGTGTGCAAGCTACTCAAGATTGCATCGGAGGTCGTGCAGAAATTACCAAGACAAGCTCATCGGACTGCCACGAGGTGGCACGCTCCATCCGCGGACAGCTGCGGCACATCACCTCATCTCACCTCACCTCTCACCTCTCAACTCTCACTTCACCACCTCACCTCTGGCGCCAGTTCCTGTGGTGGCTGCCCGACCGTTTGTACTGGAACTTCTTCTGGCCGTCCTTCATCGTGCGCTGGTAGTTTTTCATTTTGACCCAGGAGCGGCCGGCCGGGTCGAAGGTGCACCAGACCATGATGAGCGTGCTGGTGACCGAGATCCAGTTGCAGACCACCACGCCTGCGGCCGCCAGCCAGAGGCGTCACCAGCGGCCGTCGCACACAGGCAGGCCGACGGCGCGGCGGACGGCTCTTCCAGCACGCGGCCCGGAGGTCTCCGGTTCAAGACCGGCCCGGCGCCCGAGTCTCACCACCGCAAACACGCCGCGGAGGCTACGCCGCTGATGGCCTCTGACGTCACGCATCGGTTGAGGCCGCCCGTGCCATTGGCAGGTGGCTGCTGCGCTGCACACGGTCGCTTCTTAACGCCGGAAGCCGGCGGGTCCAGTCGCTGCCGGGCGGCACGGCCTGGCTCGCGGTCAGGCGGTGCGGCTAGGGGACCCCCAGTGTGGAGCCCAGCCGACATAAGGCGCAGACGAACATGTCGCGGACACAAGTTTTCCACGCTGCCCTCGAGATATGGCGCGGCGTGATTTGAACCACATGCAAGAATGCAAGGAGATGGGAAGGCCATTGCAAAGCACAATCGCACCTGACAGCTAATAGACGGATGAAAATAAAAAAACGGCTATTGGAAATCGTTCAAATAGGGAGCTTCTTGTTGTACAGAACTATTCCAAGCATAAGTTTGGACGAAGCAGACCCGTCCTTCATGCCGTTGGCTTCTGTGGGGAAGATCACTTCATCCTGTTCGTACCCGGCGCGGACCATGGCGCTGCACTGTTGAACATGGGTGTGCTATCGGATGATAGAGGAAAGACCGCGGGTCACGCTCCGAGAGGAGAGACAAGCGAAACGTCACTGCAAGACCAGGAGATGGCCCTATACGGGAGTGACAGCTTAACCCACGTAATCTTCCGGTAGTGCCAACCACTGTAACCACTGCGCATCCACGTGTGGTACGATCTTGGCGCACATGTTCTCACACTGTTTCAAACACTACGGCTCAGACGTCGGCTCTCAGTCCGCTGCGCTCGTTACGGCTGTCACTTCGCATGCTGACATTCAAGCGTGCGCTTTGCACACGAGCCTTTCAACCGTGCGCGTCCGTACGCGTCAAGTCCAGAATGCACGTTTTGTTCCTATCAAACTGAACATGTTAATAAAACGCTGGTGGTCTTCCGTGAGCGCTGAGCACGCGTGCGGGGACTGGGCGGGCTCGCTGTGCGGCCGGTTCTCACCCATCACCGCTTCCCTGGCGGTGGGCGCCTGGCACGAGTTGTAGTACTTGACCAGCCAGATCACGCCGACCACCAGCCAGGCGATCTCGATCACCATCACGCCTGAAACAGCAGGGGTAGCTTACGAGCCGGCCAGCTGCAGATGACGAACGGCCCCGGTGCCGCACCGCCTACCGCACACCGGCGCCGGGCGCACATGCGGCGGCCGCGCTCATCTGCCGAGGGCGGCCGGATGTCACCACGGCTATCTCCAAGCTGAGAGCACGCAGACGCAGCTCAGAAGTCGTCTGCTGAATCGCGGCGCCACGCAGCCACGCGCGGCCGAGCGGGAGGGGGCGGCTGGCGCCCGGCGCCCGGCCCCCGCCAGCCGGCGACGGCGGCAGCGGCGGCGTCGGCGGGCAGGCAGATAGCTCCGCACACGCCCCGCGCAGCTGATAGCACGCCGCGTGGGAACGGACGCCCGAGGTCGGCTGCCCGCCCCACCCCCCGAGGTCGGCTGCCCAGCCCCGAGGCCGAAGCGCCGGGCATCTCATAGTGCGGGCCTGGGTGAGTGGGTGGGTGCCGAGCTGCTGGCCATTCGGGCCGTGAGGGGGGGGGGGGGCGTCATCGCAAGAGGCGTTCGTGCGCACCAGCGCCGCCCGCGCCGTCACACGGATATATGAAACTGGCGTCGACGGCAGCCGGACCGAATGGAAAAACGCCTTCTCAACAAAGTAGGGGAAGAGGAAATAGCTGCCGGAGAATCTATTGACATATTAATTACTTTAACCAAAGAGGGCATCAAAGGCAGGAAATGGCCGTTCCAAGTGGAGGCTAAAAAAACGGACGCTTGGGAAAGTCCCAGGAAAAGCAAACAATTCCGGCCCGTGTGAAACCATCTTCAACAAGTACAAGCTATGTGATAACGTAAATCCTGCGATAGGATCCGGGATGTCCACCTTTGCCCTGCAGGCTGCTTCCTGCAGCGGTCAGCAGGCGAACCCGGCGCAGGAGGCCGGCACGCCCGACCGGCGTCGGCTCAGAGGGTCCAGACAGGGGGTACGGTGATGCGGCCCAGCCACCCTGCTCGTGCTGCACGTGACTCGTGGCGGCCTCACTGGGCCGTTCGGCACGGTCTCATTCACCGCTCTCAGCGCCGCGCTTCTCAACTCAATGCATCGAGAAAACGTCCCCGCGCGACGTTTTCCGAAATGGCAACGCAACCGGCCATTGGGTGCCAAACATCAGCACAGAAAGCCGCTGCCAGCAACGGCTGATGTAAATAATAACATCCAGCGTGCAGCTCCAGAAAGCACACCGAGTGTAGGGTGAAGACGGTGTAAGCGGGCAGGAGCTGTACGTCCACCTCAATGTTACCTCTCGTATCACAGGGACCCGTTCCAGAAACGCGATGAGACAATTCTGGAGGGCATGGGCCTCGGTCTACTTCTGTTCCCATCAGGCAAGCGGCTTTTCCCTGCCCACAAAGCGCTCACAACGTACCACAACGGCCCTCCTACTGTGCAACGAGCACGCACGCGGCGCAATACGTTGCACCACCGCACCGACCGAGTCCCATGTGCCACGGCTCCGCCACAACGTGCGATGGTGCCGATACCACAGCACTCGGCACTGGCCGACGCCGCCGCCGCAGTGACCGAGCCGGCACGAAGGGTGCGAGCGGCGCTGGGCTGACCTAGCCAAATGTCGAGCAGGTACTGACTGACCTAGCCGAATGTAGAGCAGGTACTGGGTGGCCTCGCGCGGCGCCGTATCCAGGATGGTGCCGCGCATGCTGACGCCGACGATGCACGCCTCCAGCAGCAGACATCCGCTCAGGATCACAAGGTAGCCGACGATGTACTCGAACAGCTGGCTCTGGCACTGGACGTCTGAGCTCAGCTCAGCCACGCCCAGTACCACCGACAGCACGATCAGC